TGGCTGTGTGACCTCCCAGACCCACCACAAAGCATCATTTTTGGAGCAGCCACTTTGTCTAAGCTCACTGACAGCCCTGAGAGACCAATCTGGGAGTCTTGAGAGGCCACGGGATCATGTCCATCTTGTCCCTTACCTGCGCATGGCAGCGTGAGGAGACACGTGGAGAAGCTGTGGAGAAACCAGAAGGACATTTAAGCCACAGTGAGCTCCTTGTCCCACAGGATCACAGCACGAGCCCCATCGGCGCCGCGTCCACCATGGCCCACGAGATGGGGCACAACCTGGGCATGTCCCACGACGAAGACGTCGCCGGCTGCCGCTGCCCTGTCCCCAAAGCTGACGGGGGCTGCGTCATGGCAGGGAGCGTTGGGGGAGTGAAGGAGGCAGGGGGACATCCCTGGGCAGCAAACACACAGAGGTGTCCTCTGACAGGGCGCCCTGATGGGGGGAACCAGGGAGATGGTCAGGTCTGGGTGGACATTCCACCCCACCTCATTGTTTATTATTGTCACTGCTTTGTAATGAAGGGATGGGACTGTTTTTGGGCTAAGAACCATTTATTGCTGAGATAAACATCAGTCTCAGAGGCTGTGAGGTTTTAGAGGAGCGAGCAGTCGGCCATAGCTCAGAGCAGTCACAAGTTCTTTGTTACAAGGCAATACAGAACTTTCTAAGCCCGTGGACAGATGCCACAAGGTTCACTTTGCTTTTCTAACCTACCACCTTTGCTTCACTGTGGATACTTTCATCTAATGGGCTTCTGTCACACTTAAACACAGATGCTTCTATTATAACTTCTAAACTCTCAGTTTATTCCATACAGCCCCAGCCCTACATTACAGACCCTTCACCATCTCATCAGTGCAGTTTCTCATTTACTCAAGGCAAACTCTTACTTACAACTATAGAAACATAAGTTTGTGTTTTTTCTGCTTAATATCTGTCTATTTTATTTTTACATCAACCCAAGCTTCTCCCAAGGCTGCAGATCAACCCCTTCAGTGTCTGTGGAAGTTTCTGTTTTTCTGATTCCCACAGCTGCAGGTGCCTGTGGGTGGGTGACCCTCCCGGGTGGGTGACCCTCCCGCTTCCCCCCCGGGCTCTCTGCTGACCACGGCGCGGTTCTGTGCCCCTGCAGGCTGGTTTACCCCAAGCTCTTCAGCCGCTGCAGCGAGCAGGACATGTGGCAGTTCCTGGGGGACCCCCGCACCAGCTGCCTGCTGAACGCGCCGCGCGCGGACGAGCTCTACGGGGGGCCGGTGTGCGGGAACCAGTTTGTGGAGCGGGGAGAGCAGTGCGACTGCGGCACGCCCCAGGTGGGCAGGCTCTGCACAGGGCTGGCAGAGAGGGTGGGCAGCAGGGCACTGAGATCTGCCCAGCTCCTGGTGCTTCCGACAGAAAATAACGGGCGGAGGATATTCGTGTGCGCCCCGCTTTGTGTAGCTGGCTGTGATTTCAGCCTAGGAAAGATGGACATCCCCCCATGTCCTCCAGAGATGTCCCACTCCAGGAGGGGACATCAGGGCATGCTGTTCTTCCCAGGGCTGTGCTCAGCTGTTCCTCATCCCTACCAGCGTGTCACGGGGTGGGGAGGAATTGAGACAGACAGACACTGCCTCTGGGATAAATCCCTTGTCACAGCCCTGTGCTGGCACCTGAAGGAATGCTCCCCTGATCCAGGGAGCACAGAAATCCTCACTTTTTCTCCTTCCTGGAGACTAGCTCAAGTTTCATCGTCTGAAAAAGTCCCTTCTGGTCCTTTGGTTCAGTGTTGGTAATGGGGATAAAGAGGCAGCAGGAACAGTCCCCACCTGGGATGTTGTTGAGGTTTTGGCCCGAGGTTCAGCCCATGGCAGCTACACTGCTATGGCCAGCTGGTGGCATGGCAGCCTGGTCCCCTCGGAAGGGAGGGAAAGGGTCCTTCAGGGGCTTCCAGCAGGGTTTCAGCCCATCCCTGTCTCGCAGGAGTGCTCGGACCGCTGCTGCAATGCCACCACGTGCCAGCTGAGAGAGGGAGCCGAGTGTGCCCGAGGGGAATGCTGCCAGGACTGCAAGGTACTGCCGCCACAGGGGAGCAGCTCCGCAGGTCCTTATCAGGGCAAGAGCCAGTCCGAGCCCTGGAGGAGCCGCTGTGCTGTGCAGCGGCTCAGTCGCTAGCAGAGTGTCAGCTCTGGATCCAGAGGGTGCTGGGAGACATTCCCAGAGCGGGGTGCTGCTGTGCTGCGGTGCCTGGAGACGTGAGAGCATCCGGGCAGTGCTGACATCCCTGTTCTCCGTGCAGGTGAAGGCTGCAGGTACGCTCTGCCGGGCCAGCAAGAACGACTGCGACCTCGCCGAGCACTGCAGCGGCCTCAGCGCCGAGTGCCCCGAGGACGTGTTCCAGGAGAACGGCATCTCCTGCCAGCACGGCAGCGGCTACTGCTACAACGGGGCCTGCCCTTCGCACGGCGAGCAGTGCCGGGCGCTCTGGGGCGCAGGTAGGGCCCCTCCCTGCCCACCCTCCTGCCCCACCGGCTGCGGGCTGTGCCTGGAGCCCCCCGGGCCAGCGCATCCCCGCCGGGCTGCGGTCCCTCCCTGCATCCCGAGCTGCGGCGCTGCTGATCCCCAAGCGGGCTCCGGCTCCGTGCGACCCTTTCCGTGTGTCCCGCAGAGGCGCAGGTGGCTCCTGACGTCTGCTTCAAGCACAACAGCGAGCAGCATGTTCACCTGCACTGCCTCACCGAGTACGGCAAGCAGCCCTGCAGCCCCAAGTAAGGACGGGCTGCGGGGGGATGGATGTCCCAGCCCGGGGGGGCTCCCGCCCGCCGGCGCTCACGGCTGTGTCCCGCAGGGATGTCAAGTGCGGCACGCTGCTGTGCCTGAGCGACAAGACCCAGCCCATCCTGGGCAGCGGCTACTACTCCTTCGGCTACTACTTCGGCCGCTTCAAGTGCAAGGCTGTGATCGCGGGCAGCGACGCCGGCGAGGCGGCCGAGCTGCGGCTGGTGCCCACCGGCGCCAAGTGCGGCGAGGAGATGGTGAGAGCCGTGCCGGGGCCGTGCCGTGCCGGGGCAGGGTGAGCGCCGGCCCCGGGGCAGCCTCAGAGCCCCCCTGCCTGCCCCCAGGTCTGCTACGCCGGGCGCTGCCAGAACCTCCAGGTCTACGGCGACAAGAACTGCTCGGCCAAGTGCAACAACCACGGGGTAGGCGCTGGGATGGCCCTGCCGGAGCTGCTCGGGCCCGCGGCACGGCCACCGGCCTGACCGCGCTCTGCCCGCTCCTCGCAGGTGTGCAACCACCGGCGCGAGTGCCACTGCGACCCGGGCTGGGCAGCGCCCTACTGCGAGCAGGAGATTTCAGGGATAGCCGCAGGTACGGTGCCGAGGAGGGAGCCTGGGGAGGGGGCTGGCACCGCCTGGGAGGTGCCGCTCCGTCCCCGAGCGCCCGGTTTTGTCCCCGCAGGGAGCGGCAGCGCGGTGCTGGCGGCCGGGCTGGCCGTGCTGGCGCTGGCCGGCGTCGGGCTGGGCAGCGGCCTGCTGCTCCTCAGAGCCAGGGCGGCGCGGCGCTCCCACAAAGGGTGGGTAATTCCCGCCTCCGCTGCTCGGGCCTGAGCCCGAGGGGTGCCCCGAGCAGCCGCACATGGTGCTTGTGTCCCACAGGAGCTCCAGCGGGACTCCCTCCGGCCTCGCCAACCCGCTGTTCCAGGAGGGCGGCCGGGCGCGGCCGTGCCGCCGCCAGCTCTCCCGCAGGGACATCGGCCAGCCCAGCCTGGTCAGCAGCACGGCGGCGCCGCGGGCCCGGGCACACAGCCCCGCGCTGCCCCGGGCACACAGCCCCGCGCTGGCCCCGCAGCCATCCGCACCCGGCCCGCTGGGGCCGCCTCGCTCCCCTCCGCGCTGGGCCCCGCAGGTAAGCACCCCTCCCAATGGCTCCAGCCCCCCTGTGCGGGCACATCCCGGGGGTGGCCCGGGCTGGTGGCGGGGGGACCCTTCCTGTCCCGCTGCGGGTCCCTGCTGGGTGCCCGGGTGAGGCAGTCGGGTCTCTCCTCCCGCCAGGCGAAGCCGAAGCCGCCCAGCAAACCTCTCCCAGCGCTGAAGAGCAAAGTGCCGAGCCACGGCGAGGGGCCGCCGGCACCGTCCCTTCCACCCTTTCAGCGGTGTCCCCCGCCAAAGGTGGCCCTGAAGCCGCCCCCCGCCAGGAGGTGACCAAGGATGCTCCATCCGCCACCGCGGCCGGCCGAGAGCGGCACAGCTGGGTGGTGGCACAGCTGGAGAGCCATCGTCCCGCTTCCACCCTTACTTGAATTGCCGGCCGGACCCTCGGACCCTGCCCGGGGTGGGCACCAGTGTTTACAGATCCTCGAGTTGTGCCTTAATGGACTCGGCAGCCTCACGGTTGTCCCAGGGAGAGCCGCCAGCCGGGGCTTCCCAAGGAAACCAGGAGCGGGGACAATGCCAGCTCCGGTTTGGAGGGTCAAGCAACGTTGGCCCAGGCTCTCCGGCGCCCTGGGAGCTGCTGCCTTCTCTCCCGACGTCCTGAATGTGTCCTGTCCTCCTGCCCTTCCCTGCCGGGGCTGCGGAGAGGAGCTCCTGGCACCACGGGGCAGGAAGAGCACACATCCCTGCTCACAGCGCCGTGGGGACCTGCCCCAGGGACATCACACGGGGGGATGTCACCAGGGGCTGTGGCAGGTCCGAGCTGGGCTGGGCCTCCCCATGGGGCTTTTATCTCTGGAGTTATTCCTTGAGTGTTCAAAAGGGAATTCCCTGGGAGCCTTTTTACTGCAGCCATTTATTTATGACCCTTATGTGACCATTTTGAGCCACTTGCTGTAAAACCAGGCCTCCCATTTTTGATATAATTTAGGTTCAAGGCTTTTATACCAATAAAGACTGAAGGAAGAGGTGTCATGGGGTGTGTCTGGGCAGGAGGGCACAGCGGGGTGGCAGCAGGCAGGGAGCTGTGCGGGGATCACGGAAGGGGGAAAAGGGTGGAGCTGAGCTCCCCAATCCAGTGCCAGAGCCACAGGGGCCAAAGTGCAGCACATTTTGCCAGCCACGCAGAGCCAGGCTGCCCCAGGATGCTGCAGGGAGTCCCCTCATGCTCAGCACCATCCTGGCTGTGGCTGGCTTTGAGCACAGGCTCCCAGGGTGGCACTCGCTGCAGCTGAGGACATCCACACCATGCAGTACTGCTGCAGGGGGACAGGCAGAGGGGTCCCCCACTTCATGTGCCACCAGCCCTAGGACACATAAAACCATCCCAAAAAATGGTAACAAAATAATTTTATTCTGCTTTATCAAAAGAACTTAACTGTGAATGTAAACCTGACCGGATGTATCGTGTTTCCTTAAGGAGATGCGCATCCAGGGGCAGACCCCTTTAGTCACAGGCCCACACAGGCCACGGGAGAGGAGAAAAAAGCCAGTTCCATCCCAAAATCCCGGCAGCAGCCACGTCCCTGCTCACAGCTGGGGCTCAGAGGGCAGCAAGGCCACGCCAGGGTGCCGAAGCCGTGGCCACCCCCTCCTGCACACGCTGGGGCTGCTGCAGCGGGGCTGGGGAAGCAGGGAAGGGTGGAGGAGGCTGCTGCAGAAGGCACTGGGCATCACACATGCTGCTGCAGGACCTGGGACCACGGGAGTGTCCCCTGGGATCCCTCAGACCACGTGGGGAGGTGGCTGATGCATACAGAGGGACACTGAGCCAGTGACAGCCACTTAAGGCGAAGTCATGGCGCAGGGAGGCACAGCAAGGCTCGGATCCGAAGGGAAGCAGCTCTTCCTGCGCTGGCCTGGCAGGCTTTCCTGCTCCCTGCGTGGACATCTTGCTCTGATCACTGCAGGATAGCTGTGAACTGCCTGCTTGCTGCTCCCAGCAGTTCCTCTCTGCCCTTGTCACTTCCAGGCTGGCAGAACCTACTCCGTCCAGCCATTCCTGATGCCCAGTGTGCCCAACCCCAGTAACACATGGAGAAAATAGTGATGGAGACCACATTCCTGCCATCATTCCCTCCAGCAGTGCTTCTAGCCTATAAAGCCTGCCCTCATCCCAAAATCCAACCAAAGGGATGCTGCTGGGGCGAGGGGAGGTCTGTGCCAAGGGCCTGCTGCAACACTGAGGTGGCAGGGAGAGATGAGACTACACTGCTCCCTCAAAGCCCATCCCACAGGAAAAAAAGGGACCCTGCAAGCCAAGCAGCATTTCCAGGAGACATTTCAAACACTACAGAACACACTGCTACCCCCTCTCTGCCCTGGTGCCTGGCTCCTGCCATGGCTGGGTTGGAAGAGGAGCTGGGATCCTGGAGCAGAGCATCAGCTGAGCCTTGGGAGTTTGCAGGCAGACAGAGAACAAGAAAGACCACCTGGAACTGCTGCAAAGTCCCACAGTTACGTCTCACACCCTGCAGAAGGGGCAGGGCCAACACAACCCTGCTGTGCCCCAGAGATGGAGCAGAGCAGCCAGGGCAGGAGCAGAGACAGCAGGAGGCACCGTGTGCTGCTGGAGACACTGCCACCCCTGAAACCCAGTCACACAGGGTGGGACACAGCACTGCAGAGCCCACACAGCTCCTCCAGGCACACCACCAGCACAGGCAAAGCTGCTTTGGGTTCAATGTTTCTCAATGGCACAAGCTAAACACATCCCTCCCCTCACCAGGAGGCTGCAGATGGAGCCAGGGACAGAAGATCCCAACAGGCTGAGTGCTCAGTGTCATCACCCCCCAGCCTCTCCAAGGCTGGCATGGCTGCTCTGAGGGGACAGGACAGCAGGAAGAATGCACAGGGAGAACAGGTCACTGAACATGCAGCAGGCAGTGCTGGGGTGCTCCCAGCAGGAGGATGGTATTCCAGCTCTTGCCAGCTGCTTCCCCAGGTGTTGCACCCCAGATCCTCACAGAACACGAGGAGGAGCAGGTCCTGAAAGCAAGCACATCCTCACAAGCAGGGGGAGGAAGGAGGGAAAGCAGAAAGCAGGTTTGTCCCAGCAGATTTCCCCCTCCCCGAGCAGCTCTCCCTCACCCTGCCACGGCACACCAGGAGCAGGGTCGGATATATCACAGCACAAATCAGGACAGAAGATCCATCTGCCAGCAAGCCTGGCCAGGGATGAGAGGACCAGGGACACACTCCTTGCCATGGCTGTTCAAGGACATACAAAGCAGGTCCCACTTCCTGGAGCAGTGGATTTTGCAGGAGGAGCAGCGATGCCTCACCTACTTTGCAGCTGAAGTGTCAAACATCTGCTCTGCTGCACAACAGGGTCCTTTCACTCTTCTCTTCCCCTTCACTTTGCCAGCATGGCACAGCAGTGGAAACTCAGCCCTCTTTCCCTGGTGAATGACTTGCAGGGAAGCTGGAATCTGAGCAAAGACTTGCCAGGCTCTGTTCCCAACCAGCTGCTCCAAGGTGCTCCTGAAAATCTGGTTTAGGAGGGAGTGAGACTCAGCCATCCAGCGGGAACACCACAGTCAGTCCCAGGCAGCCAGTGCAAGGCTCTTGCTTGGAGAGGGGTCACAGAATCCCTTCAGAGGTTGTTTCCTCCAAGTGGTTATCTAGCACTGCTGTCTGCAGGAGTATCAAGGCTGTGCAGATCCTATTCCCATAACCTATTCCACAGCAAACCACTCCTTGCCCCCAGCAGAAACACGCTGGCCAAGGAGAGTCCACTCCACTGGAGTCCTTGAGGAGAGCGAGACAGTGTCAGCAGAAACCTTCACCAAGCAAAGCTTCAGCAGCAGGACAAGGGGAACCTCCTCTTCACTCAGCCTCAGCCAGGAATGCTGAGCAACGACCAGTGTGCAGCAACACAGCACTCAAAGCCACATCTCCTTCCTGCAGAGCAACTCCTGTTAAATAACTGCACCTACCCTGGGAGGCTTTCCTGCTGTCTGTCATTTAATATTCCAGTATAGGTATGTTAGTACAGGATTATCCCTCCTTTGGAAGCACCAATTTAACAGGGGGAGACACAGAAGAGGCAGAGCCCTTGCAATCTGTTGCTAGAAGAAAATCAACCCAACTGCCACCTATACACAAGATGTCCAGGCAGGCAGGTGCTGCATCCGCCCCACCGGCACAGGGCCTCGTCCCCGGGCACAGCCGGGCTCGCTGAGCTACACTGGGCTCCCTTCCTTCCCTCAGCCACTGCTCTCCTTGCCTCTCAGGGGGCTTTCTCCAGGGGTCTCTGGGGTTTCCTGTGCAGGAAGGCTGGTTTGGTGGGCAGTCCTCAGGCTGGCCTGCTGGAAGGCACAGGAATCCAGGAACACGCCAGGGATGCGGTCGCCGAAGTACAGCTTGCTGTTGGCAGCTATGGCCTGGTACTTCATCAGCTCCAGATACTCAGGGGTCAGCTTCAGCTGCAAAAACAGAAACCAGAGACTCTGAGAGACAACTTTCTGTGCCCTGTGGTGCTAGGTTTCATGTCAGGCAGCCCCTCATGGGGTGTGGGCTGTCAGATGAAGTGTTTTCCCGGTGCTGCCCACCTGCAGCTGATCTCTGCATGGAGAAGAGTGAGTGACCAGCTTCCCAGAGCTCACCTTGTTGGAGTCAGCCAGCTTCCGAGCAGTGTAGTACTCTGCATCAGCTTTTGCCTTCTCCCTTGCCAGGAATGCAGCATCTAACGCAGCAGCAGAGGAGGGACAGGAAAGAAAGCATTAGGAAGTGAATGGCCCCATATCACACTGAGCACCTGAGCCCTCACCCCACGGGGACCAGCTGACCCAGGAGTGCCTTGACAGCCTGGCTGGCCCTGCACCTGCCCTGCAGCTTCCTGGAGAGCTCCATGCACAGGGCAGGAACGATCCCAGTGCACAGCCCTGCACCCCAGCAGCACCCTCGATGACTTCTGCAGGTCTGAGGTCACCAGCCCCAGCCAGCCCCAGCAGTGTGCTCACCTTCAATCTCAGAAATCCGCTTCTCCGTTTCCTTCTCCATGATCTTCTGCTGGTAGTGGATCCTGGCCACCTGTGCAGCCTTCTCTGCCTCTGCAATCACAAAGGGCTCAGCTGGGAAATTCGCTTCTCAGGCCTTGAGCACCAGCATCCTGACCCCAGTACCTGGCTGCAGGGTCTGCCACACCAGGAGCTGGTTCCCTGCTCCCTCCCTTCCCACTCAGTGCCAGTCTGTGCTCCAAGCAGCAGAGTTACAGGGTGAAAACACCGTGCTGGTGTCTGCAGAGCTGACATCCTATTTACAAGCACAGGGACATGGAGCTCCAAGCCCAAGCAGCTTTTCCAGCAGAGTGATTTCCTCCATCCCTGCTGCCGGACAGAGGTGCTCCCTGCTCTGCTGCTGTGGGATTGTCACCCAGATGTTGAAAATAACTGCTTGTGCAGCCTGGCTGAGCCTCCCTCAGGGAGGGAAGATGGAAGTGATGGAAGACAATGTCCTGCCCCAGCTTAGCAGGGAAGGCAGGAATGGAGGCTGAGCCCCTGCTGGTGCCATTACCTATGAGCGCTTTCTTCCGGTCTGTCTCTGCCTCCTTCTCCACCACCTTCTGCCTCTGGGCTGCAATCAGCAGCTTGGTCTTCTCAGCCTCCCTGCAAAGGGAGAAGTGTTATCCTGGGGAAAGGGAATGAGGAGCAGTATTGGGGTACACAAAACACAGAGTACTTTGGACCTAATTAGCATAAGAGATGTGACAAACAAAATGCCTTGGCAAGAGCAATCAGAACTTTGAGGATTAAATCAAGACTGCAAGAAGATTCAATTTCAGACTGGTTTACTGGAAAAAGAAAATTACATCAACTTCTGCAAGCAAGAGATGTTTAAAATGTGTAAGTTTGATTATGTGATGACTAACCCAATCACTGTAGTAAAACATTACAAATCTTCCTAGAATAAGTATATAAGCAGTTGTACTTCACAACAAATTTGGATTCTTTGACCATCTCAATGCCTTCCCTGTCTCTCCAATCACTGACAGAACAGCTCTGCACCCCAGGAGAGGCCACAGGGACAAGGGGCCAGCCAGCTACCAGCTCTCTACTCACAGCCTTGGGGACTGGCTCTGTCTGCACCGTATGAGCACACACACAGGCCAGAGGAAGGGATCATCCCCCTCTCCATCTGGCCACATCTGGATTCAAGTCCAGTCTGAGGGCCTCAGGACAAGGAGCAGGGCAATGTGGACTGGGCGCTGGGCTTGATCAACCAAAGGTTGAAACCTAACAGCATCTCCTTCTGCCCAAAGGCATCCCAGAGATCTTGGAGAGGAGCTTATGGGCAAGACATCAAGACCCCTCAGCCCTGATTTCAGTATGGAAATGAAAAACAAAGGCACAAGCACACGTGGCCAAGCACACACTGCCTGGAGCTCACCTCTCACTCCCTGAGAACGAGGGAAGAGCTTTCCAACAGCACTGTGCAGGGGTGCAGGACCCTCAAAAGTAATTAATGTAATTTTATGCCCAGTTACTCACATTAGCTCAAAGTTTCTTCGGATGGCCTCTGGAATTTTGGGTTTTGTAACACGCACAGCCTGTGAGAGCAGAAAAAGGGAGCACATTTTGAATTAAACACTTCGATGTAATCTGAATAACCAAGACATCTCTTTGCAAAACCAGCTGCAGTGCTGTGGACAGCAGTGCCTAATCCTCCTGTGCAACACAGCTGAGTGTGGTCACTCTCCCAGACGTGTCCCACATTTCTGTTTCCTGCCATCCATTCCAACCCACACTCCCACCAGGGGCAGAGGCTCCAAGCCTCATCCAAGCTGGCTTTGGACACTTCCAGAGATCCAGGGGCAGACACAGCTTCTCTGGGCACCCTGTGCCAGGGTGTGCCCACCCTGAGCACAAAACATTCATCTTTCAGTTTAAAACTGTTGTCCCTTATCCTGTCACTGCAGGCTTTGGCAAAAAGTCTTTCCCCACTTTTAAAATCTCTCATTACTGAGAGGCCACAACCCACCTGGATAGTGAGACCTGGTGCCATGACATTGAGGTCTTTCTGCAGGGCCAACTTCAAGTTCTCATCTATCTGATCTGTGTTTGGGGGACAAAAGAGAGACCAGTTGGTTTATCATGCTTTCCCCCACAGCTTGTGTGGCAAAGAGCCAGCAGGCCTTGAAGAGCAGGTAAGATAAGGAGTGTAAGATAAGGATGCTTCCTGAGACATTCAGTACATTGTTTCCCTTCCTATGCCCCCTGAAAAACATTCCCAAAAGGAGACTCACGTGCTGGTGACTGGAAAAGTTCAGCTGTTGATGAATTTGTGTTATCTGAACTAAGTGTAAATGGCTTTCAGCAAGAAAGAATGCTCAGAACCTGTGGTAGAACTCTATCCCTACTCAGCACTTGGACTTGGAGTACATTAATATTAAAATTCTGACAACCTTTTATCTGCCATTTTTGCCCTGCTCAGGCACTCAAGAAGGAACAGAACCTGCTCTGTCTTTGGGGCACAGGCCCACCAAGGAGAGTATGACCTGTGCTAATTCCTGAAGCACTGCTACCTCCCTGTGAAAAACCTTCCAGCTCTCACTTGTTAGAGACAGCCAGAAGGAAGCTGTGAAAGTACAAAAGTGAATTCAGCAACAGAGCAGGGGATTAAAAGCAGAAGCAGAACAAGGCAAATCCACTGTGAAGGCCACAGGCATCACTGCACACACAAAGAGCAGAGTGGCTGCCTTGTGCATCCAGAAAAAAAGGTGGAAAAAGATTGAAATCAAATTCCCAATGCACATGGGGAAAGACAGAGACACCTGAGTCACTGAAGGTACAGGGGAAGTGGCAGATGGATGTAAAAGGAGCTGGATTCTACACTGCAACTCCAGCACAGGAGCAGTGTGGTCTAAGGGACTGGCTGTAAGATATTCCAGGAATATTCCAGTGGGATCACAGCTGGGATCACCCAGCTGCCATGCACTTACCAAAGAGCTCGATGTACACCTCCTGCAGGGTGTGCACGCTGCAGAACTGGTTCAGCTCGTGGTGGATTTTGTTGAAGATCAAGGTCTTGTCGTAGTCTGCGGTGTAATTCCTCACGATGTCGTACACTGGGGAAGGGAGAACCACCACAGGTCAGCACTGGCACCTGGCAGGATGTCAGGGAAGGAGTGCAGCACTGGGACAGGGCTCTCAGGACTAGGGTAGCCAAAGCCACAGCTGCCCTGCCCAGCTGTCAGGTGCTGCTGGGATTACACAACTCCAAGGAGCAGCCATGGCAGGATGTACTGCCTGGTCCTGTTTCATCATCTGCATACACAAATGAAACAGCAAAGCCTCAGCAGGACCTGCCTGCACAGGAACAGGAACACCTGACAAGTGAAACAAGGATCACTCCCATTATTTAAACCAACCAGATCCTGCACCAAAAGGAATGTGGCCAGCAGGTCAAAGGAGGGGATTCCCTCCCTCTGCTCCTGCTGAGAGCCCACCTGGAGCCCTGTGCACAGTTCTGGCCTGTCCCCCTCCACATGAGAAGGACTGATTGGAACTGTTGGAGCAGGTCCAGAGGAGGCCATGGAGATGCTGAGGGGTCTGGAGCATCTTCCCTATGGATCCAGGCTGGGAGAGCTGGGAATGCTCAGCCTGGAGAAGGGAAGGGTGTGTGGAGACCTCACAGCTCCTTCCAGGACCTGAAGGGACACAGGGGAGCTGGAGAGGGACCCTGCAACAGGAACTGGAGGGACAGGACAAGGGAAATGGGTTCAGACTGACACAGGGGAAATTTAGATGAGATGAATGGAAGAAATTCTTGGTTGTGAGGGTGGGCAGGCCCTGGCACAGGGTACCCAGAGAAGTTGTGGCTGCCCCTGGATGCCTGGAAGTGCCCAAGGCCAGGTTGGACAGGGCTTGGAGCAGCCTGGGACAATGGAAGGTGTCCCTGCCCATGGCAGGGGTTGGGATGGACTGAGCTTTAAGGTCCCTTCCAGCCCAAACCCCTCCATGACTCTATGAATTACACCAGGAATTCACCCTCCAGTGCCTCAGCAATGCTGGAGTTTTGCATTAAGCTGTGCTGCTGAACAAAACCAGCTGTTTGTGCCTTTGGGGTGGTGAAATAAGAAGGGAAGAGGCTCCTCCACGGGTTCTGTCTCTGCAATTTTCTCAGGAGCTGAGCTGGAAGCACCTGGGATCAACACTACAGGACCAGGAGCTGTAAGGGTAACAAGAAATGGAAACAGACAGGGAAGTTCCTGAGACAGGAACTTTTCCAGGCATGGAAAAGGGAAGTCCTGCAAACCAAGACAGAGCTGCCCCAGGATGAGTGAAGACAGCCACAGCTCTGCCTGTTGAACCAGGCTGGGAAATACCTGCATATGGGGCCAGCTTATTCACAACTTCTATTCGGTCAATGTAGATCATCACACCACCACTGCAAGGGAAAAGAGACTTCATCAGCTACCACTGCAGCTGCTACCATTAACAGGTTTAAAGCAAAGGCATCTTCATCCCTCTTTTACAATATTCTGGGCATTTTGCAATGAGATGGCAGCAAATTCCAGTCCTTCTCTCTGCACAAATCCAGCAAACCTGCTAAGCACTTTCCTTTCCCTTTGTGATTTCCTACCAGCCAAAGGAAAGCTTTTCTGAGCAGGAATGCAGCTGCAGCTCTCAGGAAAGCAGAGGGGAAGGCAGCAAGGACAGCAGGTGACACCTGCCAGCAGATGCAGACACACCTCAGCTCTTCTGGGCAGCAACACAAGGCAAATAGTAAAAGCCCTTAGTTTAACTCACAATCACTCACTCCAGCAGGAGCTTGGCAAGGCCCAGGAGAAAAGAAGGAACAAAGCACATGGCAGACTTCAATCCATGCTCCCAGCTCCAGTGTCTCCTGGTGCTCTCCAGGAACACCACAAGCACCTCAGCAGAGGCAGCCTGCAGGCAATCCTCTCCCCAAGAAAGGATGGCAGGGAAAAGGGGGATTCAGAGGCCAGGCTTGTCCCCAGCCTCTGCTCTTACTGGTGTGGCTTTCAGAAAGCCATGCCCACCCCTGGGTACCTGTAACACCAGAGAAAAGCACAGACTCTACAGAGAAGAAAAAACCCTTAACTTTCAGCAGCTCTAAGTCTCTTGAGAGCCTGACTTTAAAGCAGAATACTCCTGCTATGATGTCCTTGGGACAAAGGCATATCACAGAGCAGAAGCTTCAGCAGGAACTGTTTAGAGACAGCTCATTCCTGGCAGTGCAACTCCCACATTCCCAAACTCAGTCTCTGTGATGTTTTAACTCAAACATATCCCCCACGACAAACTCCTTTTCTTATTTTGCAGATCTTGATCTTTGGCAGCTCAAAGCCAAGTCTGTAGGAAAAAAAAAAAAAAAAAAAACCCAACCCAAACTTGCCTGTGTCTGTGTTCTTTTGGAAAAGGCTTCCCAACCCCTCCTGTGCTTGCTCCAAACCTGCTCCATGACAACTATGAGCTAAAACCACTGGTGATGGATGGACCTGATCTGCTGCAAATCTGGCATTTCAATTTTAAAGGGATGTCAGAAAGAAAAGGAGTGTCTGCACCACCCTGATCCTATCAGGACTCATCCAGAGTCCCACATCACCTCCCTAGCACCCCAAAGCCTGCAGGGAGAGAGGAACAAGGAGAAACCTATAAAAGGACATAAGACTTTGTCCACTTGGTAGAATTTTAAGCATAATTAGGCAGTGCTGCCTGACCTGACAGGACAAGGAGACAGCATCCAGGGAATGCCACAGGAGATGGACACAGGTAGCAGGAATACCCTGGAAAGCCTCAGACAATTCAGGATCCACCTCAGCATTTAAAATCTCTATTTAATGTATTCACTGAATGCTGCCAGGTACAAACAAGTCAGGTAAGGCAAAAATTTGGGATGGGACACCCACACAGACACTCAGAAGCTTCCCAATATAGATAAGGACAGAGGGAACAGGGATATTAAAGAGAAACCCAGCATTCAAAATCTGACTGTTTAATATGTAAACACAAACCCTGAAACTGTTTAGGATCTATTCTGGTAGCAGACTTTGAACTGGGACAGTGACAGCACAGGTGTGTTCCATTTGTTATTCATAAGCTCATGTTTTCCTATGGAAATGTGGATGCAAAGCTCTGGCACCAGCAGCTGCAGACTTTGGATCCCAAATGCAGCCAGCTGAAAGGCTCCTGCAGCAACACCTGGGCAATGGACAGGGCTACTGGGACCTCTGGTCAGGAGAGCATTCAATTATTAACTGAGATAATAATTAACTGCCTGCTGGTTTAAAGCCCATTTTTACTGCCTGCACCTTCCCAACCACCTGCACAACTGAACCCTGCAACACTGAAATTCAACAGGAGCTTCATTTTTAGCTCCTAAATCACAGAAGCACAGAATGGATAAGGCTGGCTTTGGCCTCAACCTTTGACCTTTTGATCTTGTTTACCTCACCACAAAAGGACTCTGGACAAGGCCCTGAAGTGACAGGACACAGAGAATGGGTTCAGACTGACAGGGGAAATTTAGGTGAGATATATGGAAAAAATTCTTGGCTGGTAGGGTGGGCAGGCCCTGGCACAGGGTGCCCAGAGCAGCTGTGGCTGCCCCTGGATCCCTGGCAGTGCCCAAGGCCAGGTTGGACTTTGGGGCTTGGAGCAGCCTGGGACAGTGGGAGGTGTCCCTGCCCATGGCAGGGGTGGCACTGGGTGGGCTTTAAGGTCCTTTCCACCCAAACCATTTTGTGATTCTGTGAAAGCTGCAGCACTGAACACTAACATTATTTACAGATACTCCTGAAAAACCTCTGAGGTCTGAAATTCAAACCATGAGACCTTATGGTAATATTTAAGCCCCAGCGATGTCTGATGCTGAACAACTCCAAGGAAGTTAATATGGGTTAAACCTGACCAAAATTAACTCTGGTTTATTAACATTGCCACTAACATTCACCTTTTAATTTCAATGTGGTCATTGTGTGTCACCACTCCAGCCACCACTGATTTGGTTTTTTTTTACAGAAATTTTGTTGAGGACCCTGAGCATAAAAGACAAGGATTTTGTTTTGGTTTTTTTTTTTACCCTGAAGAGTCATCACTTTAACTTGTGGATGAACCAACACAACAGGATCTGTAACCCAACTCAACCAGCCCTCTCCTCCTGCTTGTTACGACTCAAGCAGGTCTGTGCTGACAGAATCAGCCTGATTATGCAGCAGGAATTTCATTTGGAAGCGAACTCCCTCCCATCAGGAGGATTCCCACTCCCTCTCTCCTTCTGCCCACTGCTGGGGTCAGCACCTGTATCAGCCACAAGACTCAGAGTGCAAATCACCAGTCTGAGGGCACAGCAAAGCACAAGCAACGGGGTGTCAGAGTCAGCTGAGGGGAGAAGCCCACAAAAATTCAAGATAAAATCACAATAAATGCAAACATCCTCTGAACAGCAGCTCCAGCAAGAGCCAGCGTTCCCTCCTGTTCTGTTCCAGTGTGTACGTTTGGGATTAATTTAGGCAGGTGCCTTTACTTCCCAATGCCTGTGTTCCAGCACTGCAAATGACCCCAGGGAGTGCATCTAGAAGAAATACAAGTGGAGGCCATACCTTGTCCCACAAGGCACATTCTTCACTTCATCAGTCTGCAGCGTGGTCTGCAACACAAACACAGCCAGCGCTCACACACCTGACTCCCAGGAAGGCCCAGGCTCCCACAGTGGCACCACAGAGCCAAAACCCTGTCCTTGGCCTCCCTGGTGATGCCTGCAGGTGTGGGCAGAAGGCAAAGCTTCTCCTCCCCTGCCCTTTGGGGGATGCACAGGCAGCTGTGCCTGTTTCCCTGCTCTGGAACGCGGTGCTCCAGGGAACAGTGACAGCCACAAACATGGACTGTGCCCCTGAGCAGGACACTGCCAGTCCCAGCAGTGTCACACACACACACACGGTGGGGAGAGCTTTCCAGGAGGAGAAGTCCTGGCTCCCCAGGGGAGGGAGACGGCACTGACCTGCACGGATTTGAAGGTGGTGATGAACGGGAGCATGATGTGGTAGCCAGGGCCGCTCGGGCTGGTCAGCAACGCTCCACCCCTGAGGAGAGGGAGGAAAACAGGCTCAGGAAGGTGGCAAACAGCCAGGACTGGCTTTGAGGACAAGCAGGGACAGCTCAAACTGCCAGGGGTCACAAAGAATTGCATCAGTGTCCTAAACTCACCAGCAATTCCCCGGCAAAAGGGCTGAGTGCACCCAAGCTTTGCCTGCTGCAACTTTCCATGAAGCCTTTAACTCTTGGAGCAAGCAGCTATTGCTAAACCCTCCCAGCACTGCAACACTGCACAGAGCTGCAAGAACACAGATCTCTCCTCTAAATAGTTCTCTGGTAACCATGGAAAAATGCAGCCGTGGATGTGCTGCTGCCAGTTTGGGTTTTGGCACAGCCCCTCGCCCAGAGCAAACCCCCGGGGTGTTAATGCTCAGCAGGACTGTGGCTAAAGGGAACTGGGGGAGAGACCTCAAATGTCCCCCAGTCAATGCTTTGGAGCAAAAGCTGGCAGAGGTGTCACCCTCTTCCCAGGAACAGTGCAGTCTCCCCAAGTGCTACACATTTTGCAGAGTGCTCTTTCCTTCAGCCCTCAGCCTTTCCTCTCCTCTTCTACGGATGCTGTTAGTGTGCACATTAAACGGGCTGCTTTTGTTTAGTTCTCCCTCACTGCACAAAGTTGAATTTTGTCTTAAGTAAAATACAGTTCTAACAACAAAACTGCAACCTCTGTAGTAATTTTTTCCTCAAGAGGCGTAGTCCCTAGGCCTTTACAGAATTTATTGTGCTTTATGCCATAAAGAACATTTTAACTTTCCATTTTTTTTGTGTGCTGAGTGGGAGGGCAGGGAGAACATTCCAAAGCACCGACACAGCGGGAGATCAACAGATGCGAGAAGGCAGGACAGAGCCAGAGCTCTGGAATCGGTTTGTGAAAAGGGCAGGGAGGCAGGAGAGGCAGCTCAGAGAGCCAAGCACACAGGGGCTGCCCACACGGGGGACAGCGGAGGGAAGCAGAGGAGGGAGCAATGCCGGGATGAACACAGCTCCGGGAGGAGCACCGTACCTGTAGTACACGGCCAGGTGTCCCTCCTCGACCCTGTGGATGGCGGAGTAGAGCAGGAAGACCAGGAGCCCGGTGGCAGCGGCGGCCGCGGCGCCGGCCTGGGCCATGGCCATGCTCGCATCCCCTCCCGGCGCCGGGCTCCGCGGGCCCTGCCGGCAACCCACCGCTATCCTAACCCACCGCTATCCTAACCCATGGCTATCCTAACCCATCGCTATCCCAACCCACCGCTATCCTAACCCCCACCCCTATCCCCGCGCTCCCCTGTCCCGCCCATATCCTTATGCTGTACCTGCCCCTATCCTTTATCCCAGTTCTTGTCCCATACCTGTCCCGTTCCTTTATCCCAATTCCTGTCCCGCAGCTCTCCCTAACCTTTACCCCAGTCCCTGTCCTGTTCCTGTCCCTATAGTTTATCCTAATCCCTGCCCCGTTCCTTTATCCCAATCCTTTATCCCAATTCTTTATCCCGATCCCTGTCCTATTCCTTTATCCCGATCCCGTCCCCTTATCCCGATCCCTGTCCCGTTCCTTTATTGCAATCCCGTTCCCTCATCCCGATCCCTGACCCGTACCTGCCCCGTTCCTTTATCCCGATCCCGTACCTTTAACCGGATCCCTGTCCGTTATCCCGTTCCCTTATCCCGATCCTTTATCCCAATCGTTTATCCCGTTCCCTGTCTCGTTCCTTTATCCCGTTCCCTTATCCCATTCCCTTATCCCGCTCCCTTATCCCGTTCCCTTATCCCGATCCCTGTCCCGTACCTGTCCCGTTCCCCACGTGCTGCCGAGGCCGCGCTTCCACCCCCGCCGCGCACGCGCGCCGGCGCACGGCACCATGGGCGCGCCACGTCGGCTCACGTTGATGACGTCACGCCATAACCCCCGGGTTGCCAGGCAACGGCGTGCTGGCGATGGCGGCGCGGCAGTGACCAGGCCTCACAGTGTGCGGGGGTGTCACCACAGAGTTTATTATGTACACACGCGCTATACATTCATGGGGCACACGGCAGCGGCGAGCCCTGCCCGTGCCCCTCGCCCTGAGGAGGCTCCACGGGCCGGGCCCAGGCTGCTCCCTGGGGGACAGCCAGTGTGTGACACGGTGATGTCAGTAAACACCGGTGACGTCATAAACACCGCCGCGTCCCACAAGGAAGGCGGCCCTCAGCACACAGAAGGCACTTGGGTGATGCAGCACCTCGGCTCCTGGGGCTACTTCAGCCAGCTCCAGTCAAAACTCTGCAAAGAGGAGCAAAAACACAACTGAGCGCAGGGTCTGGCTCCTGGATGTGAGTCTGGTTTGATGAAAAATCAGCAATTGCCCTTAGCAAGGATGCTCCCAGGAGTTAACACAGTGCAGCACAGCACAGGAGCCCTGTGAGTCCACTCCAGTTTGGGAGATCGTGGGATTTCCCAAAGGATGAGTGCCTCATTGTTCAGCCTGGAGAGGAGAAGCTTCAGAGTGACCTCACTGTGGCCTTGCAGTGCCTGAAGAGGCTACAGGAAAGATGGAAAGAGACTGTTTCCATGGGCCTGGAGTGCCAGGACAAGGGGGAATGGCTTCCCACTGCCAGAGGGCAGGGCTAGGTGGGATTTTGGGAAGAAATATGTACCCATGCACACTGGCACAGGGTGCCCAGAGCAGCTGTGGCTGCCCCTGAATCCCTGGAAGTGTCCAAGGCCAGGCTGGATGGGGCTTGGAGCAGCCTGCTACCTTTTCCTATTGAAGGAATTCCCCACGAGCCCAGGGCACCCTTGGGTGTCCCCTGAAAGCCGGGTCCTGGCAGATGGCCCAGCACTTACCATCATGCTGTTCTGCTCCTGCCTCACCTCCTGCAGAATGCTGCTGAAGAGCTCCAGGTAATTCACATTCTCCCGGATCATGTCAGCAAAATTTTCCCTGCAGGAAGGAAAAAAAGCCCTAAGGTGATGGATTTCAAGCAGCATCAAGAGTAACACCCCCATCAAAAGGTGCTGCACTGGGGGGAGGGGAAGAGAAAAAAGAAAAACAAAAACAAATAGCCCAAAAAAGTGATTTGTAGTTTGTGCACTGGTAGGTAATAGGGATCTCCTCGAGCCAGGTCTCATCAGCTCTTGGAGATCTATTTCACACCCAAGATAGCTCAGCTACCTCTGGAGGTATAAAATCCGCAGATGGCTTCTGTGGTAGTGTTGGAAACAAAAAAGTTTTAATAAAAGGCAAAATAACAAAACTCTTTACAGAGAAGAACCGAGCCGGGTGCAAGAGTCGTTCCTCCCGGTAAAACACCTCACAAAAGCCATTAGTTTCTTTGTTCTCTTCTTTTTCTAGTGAATTGCCCAGGCAGGACTTTTTGGCTCCTGTCCAGCTGGCTATCCTTAAGCTTGAGGTGAAGTCCCCCAGGTCCTATGAGATGCCTTTTCACCTAATCGAGGAGAGACACTTCTGGGCTTGTTTCCTTTTTAAGGGGATAAAGGATAGTTTTGTCACTCCATGAACAGAAGGCACATTTCTATAATAGGTGACACAAAAAGCTGGAGGTGGCAGGACAAAGGGGAATGGCTTGACACTGACAGAACATAATTAGAATTGTTAATGCAGCAAAGAGCAAAAGCCCCTCAGCTCCAGAGAGCTCAGCATGGACTGAGGGAGAGGGGCCTTAAGAGCCAGATCCAGCCCCAAGGATGAGCAACGTGACGTGCCATAAAGGGATGGCACAGTCCTTCAGCAGGGCATGCAGCTCCTGGAACTGCTCAGAAACAGAGAGCAGAGATCTCTGAATAGACAGTTCAACCAAATCCCTGATTCTTTAGAGCATTAGTGGCACACAAACTCCTGAAACTGCTCTGGGAAGGATAAAGCCCCTGAGACAGTGAGCTCCCTGCAGCTCATACCTGTCACTTTCATATTTTCTGAAAAATCCCTTCATCCAGGATTTTCTCCTGGCAAGCTGAGAAGCCTCAAAAAAAAAGGAAAACAATTATCTCAGTGCTTCTCCTGTGTTGTGCTCACATGTGGAATGTGTTTGGAGATTGTTTATCCAACAGGTGATTGTTTCATTGGTTTCATTTGAGTTGTTTTCACTCTTTGGCCAGTCAGGGCCAAGCTGTGTCAGGACTCTGGAGAGAGTCACAAGCTTTCATTATCTTTTTAACCTTCTGTAAGGATCATTTCTGATTCTTTAGTATAGTTTAGTATGGTATTCTTTAATATAATATAGTATCATAAAACAATAAATTAGCCTTCTGAGAGCATGGAGTCAGATTCAGCATTCCTCCCTGCCACAAGGGTCCCTCCAAATACAACCCATACCCATCTTCAGGAGCTGCCAGCGAGGACAGAGGGTGAGGAGCTGCGTTCCCTGAGGAGCTCTGGGGCAGCCACGTGGCTGCTGGAGTTGAGGCTGTCCCTTCCAGGCTAGAGCTGACCAGGGATCGAGAGGAGCTCTGAGTCTGAAAAAAGAAATTCAGGAGAATTTAGGCTTCAGTGTTAGACAGGGAAGATTTGGGATAGCACATGAACGCTGTTGGTAACACACACCCAGCTGTGGGAACCAGGAGATGGCTTCAGGCACTGCAATTAATGCAAAAAAAGCAGAGTACTCTTTAAAACACTTTAAACTAACCAGGAAAGCACCTATTTAGCTTCTGCTTTTACCATCTCAGACTGCTCTTCTCTGTAGGAAAAAAAATTGCAGCCATGGTGTGGCAGTTACCCCTTTTTGCTGAGTTTACTTCCCAGCTCATGCACTGGAAGAAGTGCAAACAAATAACCCAGCAGCTACTCACACAAGCAATTTTCAGCAAATGCCAGATCTCCCTTTGTCTTTTTCCCTGCATCTGCATCACTGAGTTGTCAGCTTCCTTGATGTTGTTTAGAGCCACTTCAATCTCGGGCAGCAGGTCAATGATCTTCTGCTTGCAGCCCAAGAGCTTGCTAGAATAAAAACCAAACACCAAGTCACTTCCCAGCACATTCTGGCAAAACCAAAAGCCCCACCTTGGCATTCAAGAAAAATGAAAACTTTGGATACTTGAAAAATTAATTTACAAATCACTGTGGCATCTTCTCAACTCTGTAACACTGCTACTTTTTTTCCTTAGCATTTGAAGGAATTGTTTTTTTAATTTTTTTTCCTTTGAAGATCTGAATTCCAAATTTCAACTGGCAGAATTTGCCTCATTTTAAAGTGAACTCCTGAATGCTAACAGCCATGTTGTTAAAAATTAAGTGGAAACTCAACACAGAGGAGCAGAACTAATGTTATGAGAAATGTGAATGGAGCTTTTTGGGCTCTGACCTCCATGGTTTTCCCTATCCTTTCCTACTACAAAGCTCCAAATGCTGCAGGTTGGATTTGTTTGGGTTTTTTGTCTGCATAAGGTACCTGAGGTGGCCAAAGAGCTCCTTGAGGACTCGGTCCTGGCTCTGCACTGTCTGCACAATGATCTTCACCATGTCTGTGCTGTCACTGTAGGCATGATCTGGAAGGGCCAGCAACCACCACATTAGTAAATCCTAACAGAATTCCCTGGGTTTCAGTTCAGGACAATTAGTCATGGGGTAAAAGTGTGAAACAGTCATTAAATCATCTTCATCCATACCTGGAGGTCGTGTCTTTAATTGCTTGTACAGGTCTATGGCTCTCTGTTCCCTTTAGAAAGAAGAATATGGTTTAGGCAGGTGTCAGCAGCCAGGTGACTCAAAAAAAAAAAGCACTGCAGTGAGGGGATGCCTTTCTGAACTCAGACCCTTGTCCTTCTCCTACAGCTGGGACACAGCCATGGCCTTTGGAACACAGGAATGCTCTTTCTGAGATGGAATCCAACACTTTCCCCAAAGCTGTCTCTCTTTTTCTCCAGCTATGCAATTTCTTCTCAGAAAACCACACCAAGTGGAGCTTCCTTTCAGTTTCAAGTCTTCCCATGGCTCAGCTGTGTTTTCTTTCCCCTGTATCCTTCATTATCCGATTTCATTTTTGAAACTCTGACTGCACAACTGCCTGAGAAATTCTTGTTCTGCTCCTGCTCTGCATTTTTTGCCTGAATTTTAGTGATGTTCTGTAAATGGAAAGAGACAGCTGCATCACAAGCAAGACGACTGTGCTTCTCTTCTTCCCAATAAATAAACATTACTTCTTTCAAGTATTTCAAAAACAGTCACACTGAAAACTTCCAGCCTTGAAGAAAATCTTTCCTGTTCTAAATCCCAGTCTGACAGAAACAAGGAGCAGTTTCCCAGCCCTGATCCTGGTCTGCAGTGGTGGAATTGCTTAAAAATAATGCCTAAGGAGGCATGATCCTGATTAGTTTGAGCTGGTGCTGCAGGAGGTGGCTTCTCCTTTGCACCACTTCCTGCCCTGTGCACCAGTTCTGCTGCAACTACTTAGGATGAAAAGCAACTTTGCAAAGTGGAAGGGGGGAGAACATGCCAGAAGCAGGCACATTTTCTCCCTGAACAGTCAGAGTTGTTCTGAAGAACTCTTATTAACAGATTTAATGGCTGTTGAGTCCCTCTCTTTTAGAACTGCCACTTGTGCTCTTAGCAGCAGCCCAGTAACTGCTTCCTGTGTCTTCTCAAGATCAGAAACACCATTTGACTCTTTCATATTTTAATACTTTCAAAAAAAAAAATCAACTTTCCAAATATCCAAGTACCCATGAGATATTTACCCTTGATTTGAAAATACTGAAGGTATTTAACAGGATTTTACAATGATCACGTAGTTTTCCTCACTCAACAGTAAGAAACTCACTCCTCTCCAAGACAAAAGCAAATCCTTAGCTGACACCAAGATTTGTCTTAGTCCTGGGCTCTTGTAAGACGAGGTTTCACAGTTCAGTGACAGGGAAGTGTCCCACAAATGGT